CCGAATCACAATAAAAAGTTAGCCAAGCTTACTAACTCCCCATTGACCTGAATTACTCACTATCCCTACCCGCAGCAGTGCTCAGGACTCCCACTTTCACAGAGTGTTATTATGAGCACCGCAAAATGGGACGAAAAGAGCGTAGCAACGCCAGCCATTCGAGAAGCCTGCATCGCATGAGCAGAAGGAATGAAGCGAAGCATACCCTACCCTCCTCAATGAAAATGAAATGAACTGAAAAGTATATTAATATCAAATCGACTGCAGATGATGCACCACTGATCCATGCTGCGGCAATGTTTCACACCCCACAATTCCAGGAATGTAACCTACCACACTTCACACCGCATTTGACGGATAAGTTAGCACACACACAGAGAGACAGACATTGTACACACACACGCACACACACAAACATATGCACACATTCCTGCATGCACACTTACAAAATTTTTGGCGAACGATGTAGAGTACAATGCAATGTGGAACTGTATCAACAGCAGCAGTGACAGGAAACTCAATTTTTAACGATCTATTTGTCCGCAAAATTTCAGCGGCAGTTAAATCAGCCTCATTTGCTTTTTTGCCGAACGGAACTGAGCGGCGATGTTCCCATGGAAGCAGCCGCCTGCCCACCCGTATAATTCAGCTCGCATTCGTAGCTCTTTTCACCGATATTTTCCAGAAATAATCAAATTTTACAACAATGGAAGGAGCAGGGCGGCGAATGCACACAAACAGTGCCCACCGCAAGCGCTTCAACCACCGCCTTTTCAGCAAACAAAGCCTGGCAAAGTAAAACGCTAACAAAAATTGGAAAATCTTTTATCCCTCAGCGTCTCATCTCTTTCGTCCCCTCTGTACTTGCTTCGCATATCCTCCGAAGCACCCAGCCTTATACTGTAAACAAACAATTCCTCAAGATGCACTTGCCCACTGCTTCCTGCAATTCAAGTGTGTGTATGTGTCCTAATACTTGTTGCTCGATCGCCAACTTTGTTGCACTCGTTGTTGGAATCCAGGGCAATCTGAAAATTCGCACGAGAGCACCCCCCTTTCGCTTTTTATGCGTTTTTGCCGTGCAGCGCTAGAGCGCCGCAACAGGCAACAAAAAAGCATATTGCAACGACCCTGTCAGGGTGTTTGTGTGTGTTCGTCTCTCCGGATGTTTCAACTCAACAACCACACAGGCTTTGAAGCTGAAATTTTACCAGTGTGTTCCCCAGTCAAGTGCCACCTCAGGACCACGGTATCAATTCTCATGCATGTCTGGGCCCCGCGTACGAGCACGTAAAAGTCTTGGCGGGAAAACTGGTAACTCGAGAACAGGAAAAGCTAAAAGGCTGAAACCATAGCGTAATGTTCCCTACCCGTGTATGACAAAAAGATTTCAAATTCAGCTGCCCAGGACTGGCCGGGGCTTATGTACGGACACGTGAAAATTCATAACTCGAGAATGAGAAAAGCTAGAAAGTTGAAACCTTGGAGGAATGTTCCCTACTCATGTACGACCTAAAGTTTTCAAACTCAGCTCGTTAGGACCCCCAGGGCTCACGTACGTAAATTTTTGGCGTGAAAATTACTAACCCGGGAACGGGGAAAGCTAGAAAGCTGAAACTTTAGGGGGATGCGTCCTACTCATGTACACGCAAAATCAGGTGTTTACAAGCGCCCGGAGCCCAAGTACGGGCACGTGGAAATTTTGGCACGAAAATCATTAAACCGTGAACGAAAAAAGCTAGAAAGCTGGAACTTTACAGTGATGTTCCCTACTCATGTATGACTAAAAGATTTCAAATTCAGCTCCCTAAAACCTTCCGGTACTAACGTACGGACGGACACGTGAAAACTTTTGTGGGAAAACTGCTAACACGGGAACGGGGAAAGCTGAAGGCTTTAATTTTAAGAGAATGCCAAATTTAACTCTTCTAGTGCGGCCTTTTTCGCGGACCAGCAACTTTCCATTTGTCGGTCACTGAAGTCGACATCTACAGCTGACATACCACAAAGCTGCACAATTAATTTCCCGAACTTCGAGGGCCAGTGTGTTACAGGGTGAGCTACTGTAATTCCTTGCGATCTTACTAAGGCACGAAAAGTGCAAAAACGCATAATCGCACCGGCTCGCCTGATGCGTCTCAGCATGGGTTTGTTCGTCAACTACTAAAACTCAATTCGGCTTTTTATAAAGCTACGGTTCGCTTTAGCTAACTTGCTCAGTGCTAGCATCTTCCGAGGTTCATTTTTCAAATGAAAAGCAGGCCAAATAAGTTCAAGTCAAAATCACAGCAGCTGGTTTTTATGCCTATAAGACAGATGTTTCATCGCACTTGCAGTGGTCGAAAATCGTCCCCTACTCGGTTGTTTTTCATAACAATTCGCTGGGATGTTTTTTTCCCTTCAGCATGTGAATGTGTCGTGAACAGAGTGTTCGAAACACCATTTGCTGTGGCTAGTATAATAATGTGAAGCGAGACGGAAGCGGGCAGTTTGGACACTTCAACAGATCCCTGCACTCTCAAAAACGACACATTAAATATTCATGCAAGTCAAATCCTCCATCAGTTAACTTGCACGTCAAACAGGAAAATACGGTCTTTCCCTGCCCCACTGAAAGCGATGTGTGTCGACGATCAACAAAGCAAGCAACACATTCAGTTATCACGAACTTTCGGTTCGTCGATTCACACCACAATGTCGCGTATGTTGCTTTTTTAACAATGTTTATTTCCTGCTTAACACGAAGATTCTCTGCGCATCTTCCAAAACGTTTCCTCCTCCGTTTCGACCAGAATTCGCTCTTCTGCTTCCAGTTTCACGTCAGTGCAGTTTCACTTTCACACGTCAGTGCAGTCAACAGGATGTCGCAGCTTGTCTTACTTCGCAACTTTTGACACTGATGGCACTGGAGAACTTATGGTTTCCTCAGAAGCTCAATCTCCAGCCAAAGTAGTAGAATTTCCAGAGCAATATGACCAACATTTCCCTTCCAAACAGCTGAAAAAACCAGTAGCGGCGCGCAACCGATGCCATCATCATGCGTTTTCGGCACTATTTTCCCCAAAGATGCTTATTGCTAAGTAACCAACGAGCAGAAGTCCGTATCAAATACGAATTAGTTATCATTATTTTTATCTTCGACGGTGTCAATCTGTCAAGCAATGAGATGAGGGATGCGTCTTTGCATAAAACATGCGAAGGCTGTTTTAGGCAAACATGGTCGTTGGCTATGCACGCAAGCATTCCACTGCATTGGTCTGTGGAGTCAGCAAACTGTCAGTGTAAGCAGCACACGTCCGTATGTGGGATAAAAGAGGAAAGTTCTTTTTAAAAACCCAAACATGATCTTAGACCATGCTCAGAAAGTTGCAGTGCTCTAGGCTGCTTTGGATGCGGAGTTACAAAAACGCCGGCGTCAAGTTCCATGCATTTGTGTGTGGGATGCACGCAGACATGGAAGTTCATCGTATATTCACGGGTTCATATGTGAAATCTTGGTAAACTTCTACTTTCAAATCAATATAATGTCAACTCCAACTTCGACGTGTCCATATATGAGACGTAAGCGTATGAATTCAAAACCTTTGGGACGCATATAAGCAGGGGATCCATACGAAAGTTGCAACGCTCCAGTTTACCTGATTCCCAAAATCGCTTTCCCGCAAAAAATTTTTTACTTGTCCACATGTGGAGATTAAGAAGATGTGAATGTCCACTTTATCCACTTTCTATGGCAGACCAAGTCGTCTACTTTCCGTGGTGGAACAAATTGCCAAAATCTCAATTTCATGATTTCATAGGCCTGGAAATCAAAATTTGCGGACACACACACACACACACACACACAAATGCACACATAAACGCACGCACAAACACGAACCTCTCCAAAACGTGCGATCTTGCACTGCACAGATGCAAAAAACGCACAAAAAACTTATATGAGCCAAGCCTAAGTTGAGTGGCAGTAGTTGCTCAAGTCCAAAACATGTGAGCAAACACACCGTGCTCATTTGCTGAAAGTAGCCCACAAAGAAATGAGTTATGCGATCACAGCAAAATGTAAAAGCAATAACTCCGAGATGCAAAAGCGATATCTGGGCAACATCCAAAACGATTCAAAGACGGCACCAAAAAATTCCACTATCTTCCTCGGCTCATAAGATTCATCACAAGACATCACATCTGGTGCGAAAGGCAACGCCGACCTATGCCCAAATCCATAATGATTATGAGAGTCGCGTCAAATAACTGACATATGAATAATCACTGGCAAAGCCTTGCCTCTTACGCTGCGCCATTTCGCTTTCACAAATATTCTTGCAGGAAACATCACACCTTTCACTAGCTACAGGGGAAAAGATAAAGGAATGTTTGCATGCAGACGACTTCAACATGGAAAATGTGGCAAGAAGGGGAAGTGGAACGAGTGAATGGTGTAAATCCGATGCTCCAGACAAACGCCAGGTCCCACAGCAACGAGCTGATACCTTCAGTCTGCATCAGCCGCCTCCACTGCGTCGGCGATTCGTACTGTCTATTCGGAGATAGCACAAGCGAAATTTTCAACTTTACTTTGTGAGAATGCAGCACCTGCGGATACGAAATACTTCGACTTGCATGACTCCGCCATAACAAGGAATGAGAACAGGCACAGAGGATTGCACGAAACGGTCAAAATTTTGCCAAGCACTTGTGTAGGCAGAATATCAGAGTTGTTAATTTCTTCAGACAATGAAATGAACGCTTAAGTCGTCAAAAGACTAGTTAAAAAACGATGTTGGGATAGACTGCTGCGAGGCAAACACTGATAAGAGGTACATGAGTTGAAAGGACTTATTTGATATGGGACTAGGTAGATGCGGTGCGCCCGCAAATTCCGAGAACGACAGGGAAAGTGCTGCTACATACATGAAAGGAGAAATAACAAGGATGAAACGAGTCTCGCGACAGCTGTGTGTTGTTTTGCAACCCCTCTCCTTTTAGCTGTGGAAAATTTTGCAAAGAGCAAGCAGAAGTAGTAATTCATAAACAGTGCAACCTTTGCGGTGGATTTGTATTCATTGGTTTCTGGCTGCGTGCAGCTTTCTGCTGATGAGAGATTAGTGGTGCTGCTGCTGCTACTGCTGCTGCTGCAGCAACAGTAGGTGTTTGCCCGTGAACAAACGGAACACTGTGGTAGTGACGGTGGGTTCCTATGGGATTACCATCAGTATTCGCCTTTTTCCGCCATCCTTGGTTTCCCTCTAATTGATAATAGAATCCGTTTGAAGCTGAATCCAAGTACCTGCAACAAGATGCCAATAAAAAGAACAGGAGCAGTGGGATGACTT